GATCCAGAATATGTATACTTTGTAGGGTGTAACATTTCGAGGAGTTAGAATGGTATCAAAAAAATAAATTAATAAGTGGTCGTCTACCTTATAGACTTCTGGACCTTCAATTCTAGGCAGAGTGGTAAGTCTAATTCCCCAAAGTTTAATTCAACGGTTGGATCCTTCAAACAGCAGGGATTTGTAACATTCTTGTTGGACGTGATAGAATTTGCCGTAAATATTCCCATTTTGAATGCTATTGGATGAATTGAATGAATGAATATTGAATGTTCGAAGTTTCATGAAAATGCGATACTTACTTTGCTTTCTATGAAATAGAAATCTTGCTGCACATCCGATCAATCCATTCGCGTCTGAGCTCAAATAATGTGTGGCAAAATTTTCAATCAATCTTCAAATCTTTAAGAAAAATATTTTAAATGTATTTCTTTCTATTTTCTATTTCTTTTTAATTTTTACAAAATTTTGACAAACAATATTCAATTCTGAAAGCCTTTTGACTAGAATGAACGAGTATCCTAAGCGACTGCTCCCTGCAAAGCAATTGCAAAATCTGAGAAAAATACAGCTTCATCTCCAATAGTATTAGGACTCTACTCTGATAATAGCTATGAGGATTGGACCATAATTGCGACCTCTAGAGTGAGTACAATTGTGAAAAAAAAAAAACAAGTGAGAAAGCAGTAAGTTCGGCCGGGCCGAACTTTGAATACCTTCCACCATTTCGAACGAATTAGAAAATTTTCAAAAAAAAAAAAAATTATAATATAAAAAGTTCTGTTATAATCTTTAAAATACCTAATATCGGATGGTGCCGATATATGGGGGGATATGCGATATTGTGGACCTATATAGACAAATCTATGTCTGGGGGTAAAGTACTCACAAATAACTCCTTGTGTAGAATTTCAGACAATTCCGTTGAAAAATGTTGCTAAAATCATCAAAATACCGAATATCGGGGGTACCGTTATATGGGGGCTATACGATATAGTAGACCTATATAGATAATTCTCTTCCAAGGGATAAGGTACTCCCAATGAATTCCTGGTGTGGACTATAAGACAATTCCAAAAAGTGGCTGAAATCATCAAAATACCGAATATCGGGGGTACCGTTATATGGGGGACATATTATATCGTGGATCTATATGGACAACTCTCTTTCAGGGCGTAAAATACTCACAAAGAACTCCTTGTGTAGAATTTCAGACATCAAAAATACCGAATATCGGGGGTACCGTTGTATGGGGGCTACACGATATCGTGGACCGATATAGCCCATCTTCGAACTTGACCTGACTGCAGACAAAAGAGAGATCTGTGCAAAATTTTAGCTTTCTATCTTAATTCGTTTAGACTGTAGCGTGATTACAACAGACGGGCGGGCGGACAGGGCTAAATCGTCTTTGAATTTTACGCTGATCTAGAATATATATACGTTGTTGGGTCTAAAATGATTATTTCGAAGAGTTACAAACGGAATGACGAACTTAATATACCCTCCTTACTATGTATGGTGGAGGGTTTACAAACGAGGTTGATTTTTTCGCTAGGTTACATGCCAGACATCTTAGGAGTATTATAATGGCAAATTTTATTATTTTACCTTGAAAATTATAAACTTTGTCTTGATTTCAAGAGACTGACATTATAAATCTACTCAGAAATATCGAATATATGAAGTTTACGGGAACTGAAATATTTAAGCATTAAATCGGATGAAACATATGTATATATGGGAGCTATATAAATCGATTTTCCCCAAATGTGAAGTTCTTGTTAATGCGCTGAATTTGGTTGGATTTTCCGAAATACATCCTATTTGGACGAATACTAAACATTTGGTGCACAATAAAATTTAATTCGGACGAAGACATATATGGAAGCTTTATCGACACAGAAAGTGATTCTATGAGGTTTCCTTCTCCACGTTACAAACAAATGCACAAAGACCGTTGGTCTGTTCCAAAACTGCATGTTACTAGGATAACAGATTTTCCCTTTATCATATCAAAACCAGTCGTAAAGTCGGGCGGGGCCTTTATGATACGCTAGACCACTTTGCATATTTGGTAGAGCTTCAACCCCGTCCCCTTTTCAATTCGGGTTTGTATTATACATTTGGTGCACAATTAACTTGAAATCGGATAGATATATATATGAGAGCTATGTCTAAATCTGAACCGATCTCGATAAAATTTGGCAGAGGTATTTCTGAGCTGTATTTGATATATTCCGCGAATATCGTTACTACGAGTTCATATTACGGCTATGCAGGGCAAATTCAACAAATCGGATGAACAATATGTATGGGAGCTGTAGCTATATCTGAACCGATTTTCACCAAATTTGACATACTGGTTTCTAAACTCAATTCGGTCGTAAGTGCCAAATTTCATCCAATTTGGGCAAATATTAGACGGATGAACAATATATATGGGAGCTATAGCTATATCTGAACCGATTTCGATACTTATTTTCAGGTCTATTTTGGTTTTATGTGAAAAATTCCATACTATTCGGGCTCATATTACACGTTTGGTGCACAATAAAATGCAAATTGGACGAAGATATATATGTGAGCTATATCTAAATTTTTACCGATTATCTCCAATTTCAATAGGGTTCGTCCTTGGGCCAAACAAATGATTTGTGCAAAATTTCATCTGGATCGGGTAATAAATGCGAACTGTACTTTGTCCACAAAAATACATGGACAGACGGACGGACGGACATGCATAAATCGACTCAGAATGTGATTCTATGCAGGTTCGTCCTTGGGCCAAACAAATGATTTGTGCAAAATTTCATCTGGATCGGGTAATAAATGCGAACTGTACTTTGTCCACAAAAATACATGGACAGACGGACGGACGGACATGCATAAATCGACTCAGAATGTGATTCTATGCAGATCATCAAAAGGAACTATGGGTCTATCTCGTTTCCTTTTGCCTGTTAAAAACAAATGCACAAAGACATAATACCCTGAACACCTTGTGGTGTAGGGTATAAAAATGAGCGCAAGAACTTACACCGCAACGGAAAGAAAATAGACTCAAAAGAGCTAAAGATTTGCTTCGCTTGGCCGATGGTCGCTCTCCGCTCGTATTAATCGACCGTGGCATCAGAATAAATGCCGAATATTATGTCGAAAATATTCTGGAGGGATATTCTGACAGGGCTCAGCACGCGCCACCCAAGAATGGTTACAAAATGAAGTTCCTCGCTTCATTTCCAGCGCAAAATGGCCACCAAAATCTCCGGATACCAATCCGTTGGAGTATTGTTTCTGGAGTATTTTGAAAGCAAGGTTGGCACTGAAAAATTTCAAAGTGCCGATCACTTCTAGCAAGCGCTCCGCCGAGAATGGGCCAAAATCACGCAGAGCAAACTTCGGACAGCGTGTGGCGGTTTCATTGGCCATTTGAATGCCATAATTCGTGCCAAAGGTGACCAATTCGAACAAATCTAAACTTATTCTAAAATTTGATGCTGTTTCCTACATTTTTTGCCTTCATTCAATAAAATTAAAAAAAAAATGTCAAAATTACGGCGTTTGACTTTGTTGCAGTTTTTTTTATCTTACCCTGTATAGTGCCGAATATCAAGTCGGTTAAAACATATATATGAGAGTTATAACTATATCTGAACTGATTTACACTAAATTCTATAAGTTTATTCCTAGTCTAAATGCTGTCGATTGTGCCGAAATCTTTCCCATTTGTATGGTATGTACAGTAAAACCCGCTTAAGTACTTTGCCTTAATTTGACAGCATTTTGAGTTACTTAAGCGGGTAGTGTACTTAAAAGAACCCGCTTTAGCACCTTAGGTTGGGTACATAAAGAGACCCGTTTTAGTACCTTCTGTTAGGTAGCAAGACATTTTAAGAATATTTTGAGAATATTGAAAATAACTTATTTAACACAAACAAAAAATTTTATTAAAAAAAATTAAATAATTTATTTAAACTCAAACAAAAAGTTAATTTAACAAAAAAATATTTTGATTATTAATTAAAAACATATTTCATTTGTCTTTCATTTAAAAAATGTATTTTATGTGCGTGCATAATACATATATTTAAAACAAGGCTAGGCAAAGAGTATCCCTTGGGATATCTGTGTGTTCACCAACACAATTGTAAAAAATAAATTGTTTTGAATTTTCTGTCAAAATGGTTTTGGGAAAATATTTAGTTTTGTTCGAGCAGTCGTTGAGGAAGGTGCTGTCGGATATTTTTATGAATACACCGTAAGAAATATTGGAGCACAAATATATCTTACTACATATTCGGAACAAATATTTCCGAATTTGTAAAAATTACAACTTTTGAAATTTATCTTTTCTGATTGAATTCTATTTGACAAAATTTGCATACGAATTCACATGTTAGGAAGAGAAATTCATTTAACATTGATAAATTTATTGTCCTTCCAAATTAGTGGACATTTTCATATCCTTTGATTTCTCTGAAATTATATGTACGTTCTTAGTCAATTTTAGGAAAAATAGCAAGATGCGATGTTTATCATTCTATTTGTAATACATAGAAATAATCTTTTAGAACCCAATGCAGGATATGAGTTTCTGATCAGCATAAAATTCTACGACTATTTGCGTCTGCCAGCCTGTGGAAATCGGAATCGGATTTTTAAAGGGTCAACATAGATGGTTAGCATGTTATGTCCGAAATTATTAAACAAAAATAACATCAAAATTATATAAAATTTCTGAAAATGTCAACTTATATATTTTTTAATTTTAAAATGAATCATAATTGAAATAATTCTACAAATATATCTCCGAATTGTCTGTCAAAACATTAATTTTTTACCAACGAAGTTATTTTAAAAACAGAAAATTTTAAATTGAAAATTTAAAGATAATAAATTATTTCTCACTCTGTAAAGAGAGTCAAATTAACACTTGCAATATTTTGTTATTTTAAAACACATACAATCACAAAAAATTTTTGAGGCTCTCTGCCATGGTAGAATTACAAGGTAACCCTTTCAGGCCAGCTGGTATCAATTTGATATGTCAAAAAATTGTTGTAATTTGAATTCGCCTTCATTTACACATAAGAAAATTGTTGCATGATTTCAAACTTTAACAATGCTATTGATAGAAAATCGAGATTTTACGTTTTTATAGAATATGAGGGAAAAAGTGTATATTCAACATATGGTAGGCATAGGTAATATGGAGATCTAAAATTCGTGGATATTTGAAATAAGTGAAACAGGGAATCAATTTCATTTAGGAAATAAACCGATACATGGAATTTCATCATCTTATTTGTACGGATTTTCAACTATGTTATACACTATAGGGCTTCAACAGTGAAAGGTGAATGATTCCAAAGCATATTGGATTGGTTTGGGGAACAAAATATTGGCAATTTTTGGGGTGTGATTAAATATTGAGATAATTTTTTTATTTCAAATTGTTCGAATGAATTTCATCATCTTATTTGTACGGATTTTCAACTATGTTATACACTATAGGGCTTCAACAGTGAAAGGTGAATGATTCCAAAGCATATTGGATTGGTTTGGGGAACAAAATATTGGCAATTTTTGGGGTGTGATTAAATATTGAGATAATTTTTTTATTTCAAATTGTTCGAATGTATTAAAGTTATCTATGCTTAAAAGACTTCCTGTCTGCTATACATTTCATAGCTGAGCAAATAATATGCCTGGACTCACAGTAGACTCAGCCCCCCCTTCTGCAATCTTTGATCCAAATCTTAAGTAAGCCTGAGGAGTAAATATACCCTAAAGTACCTTTTAGGTAGCATGTCACTACAGCGAGAAAGCTGACGATGTAGCAAAAGAAAAAAGGGTACACCCCAGAACCACCACAAAACCTAATTTTAAAGCATCAAAAATAATTTTCCGGATATTTCCTTTAAAGAACATTATCGCTGTTGAATATGAAATCAACGTTGCCAACGTTACCAAGACTGCATGCTGTGTAAGGATGATGAAGAGATAACGATTGGACATCTATTATCGCAAATGTCCTTCGTTGGTGCGCTGGAGACTACAATCACTCCATTTCCAGTCTATGTGATTTTCAAAAATGTTGTATTGAACGTGCTATAATCAAACCAAGATGCAGCGGCTTCAGCATTACTTTCAATCGATGTTGGAAGTTTTGAATATTTGCTTTTGTAATAGAAAAAAAACACAATTTTGAAAATTTTTAATTCAATATTTTGATTGGAAAAATAATTTGCCCCAAATTTTGTACTTCAAATCAATTCGCCCTGACTACAACTTTGACATATCAAGTTTCCAAAAAAGTTGCTTTGTTGTAATTTTCGCCTATGTTGCTACCTGGTATTTCTACCATGCTCTCTGCCTTGCCCTGATTTAAAACATATGTATTTTTTATGAGATCATTTAAAATAAAGTTGATTTCAAAAATAGTTTTAAATAGCAAAAAAGTCAGTAATTTTCTTTTGACGCATGTTTTGAAACTTTGTTTTTTAAAAAAACTTTTCTTCTAACATTTCAAGTTCATCAAATTCAAGATTATTGCTCTCCATATATCTCTTCACTGTTTCTAGTGCTGTCAGCGCTTCTGCAAAAGAGGGTGGGTTCACTTCAAAAGTATTTTCCGTAGTATCTTCAGATGGTGACACCTCGCCATCGTTATCTTCCAAAATACCTGACAATATTTCTTCCTCTGTAAGTGGGCCAAAGCATTCAGTATCCTTATCAAAATTTACATATTCCTCAAACTCTTGAGCGTTTATGGGAATGTCTAAAAGTGTTTCTTCATCGCCATTAGGAAAATAATTTTGAACAACAAATCCGGCCTAAAAATAAAATATTAATTAAGAACTGTTAAATTTTGTCAGGTTTATAAAGAAAAAAAATATTGACCACGCCTACTTTTACGCCCACTATCTTGATTTATTTAAAATCTTTATATTTGCCAGATAATGAAGATATCGGTTTGAAAATTATTACACGAGATACTGTTGACTTTCCCTCCAAACTTAGAAATTTATTTGGGCGCCAGGGAACTGAACACGCATACTTCTAATCTGTCTATATATATAAGGAAGTTGTGTTAGTTACTACTCTTATAACTCAAGAACCGTTAGACTTACTATTTAGACTTACTATTTCGGAATTTACATTTGTAGTTTTTTTTTTTTGAATTCTAATATGATGTGTACTCTTTTTGGGTAGTAGAGAAAGACGAAAACTATGGAGTGGCGGAACTGAATAGATGATGTCAAAATAATTTAACGTGGTCAAATCAAAATTGCTAAAAAATCAAAAAGGAGCATATTGCCCTGCAAAAACTCTAAAATAGGGAAAAACTGAGAACATTTTTTCAATGGAATCAAATTTCAAAATAATAGTAAGTCCAAACTTCGTAAGGACCTTTAAATATTGGCTGTAAAAAACCAGCGAACAAGTTGAAGATATTTTTTATATTTGTTTATTAGTTACTATGCTTATAACTCAAGAACGTTTTGACGGATTTTCACAATTCATACAACTAAAATATGCCAATAAAAATATAAAAGAAACCAGTAAAGAAAGTCTTAAAGTTGGGCGGGACCGACTTTATGATACCCTACACCACTTTGCTAATTTAGTAGAGCTCCACATAACAATTAAAAGTTTTTATGGGAGAATTCAATCATACACGCTATCATTATAATTATATTTTAAAGTTCAAAGGACTAAATATGCCGAAGCATTTGTATCTTTTAAATTCGGAATTGTATTGCCCATTTGGTGCACAATTAATTTGAAATCGGGTAAAGATATATATGGGAGCTATATCCAAACCTGAACCGATCTCTATAAAATTTGGCAAAGATATTTCTGAGCTATATTTGACGTATTTCCCTGAATAACGTTGTTAGGGAGTGCATATTACGGTTGTGGGTAACAAATATAAAAAAACGGGTGAATAATATATATGGAAGCTATAGCTATATCTGAACCTATCTTCACTAAATTTGACATACTAGCTTCTAGACTCAATTCGGTCGTAAGTGCCAAATTCCATCCCATTTGGACAAATATTAGACGTTTGGTGCACAATAAACGGTAAATCGGACGAAGTTATATATGGGAGCTATATCCAAATCTGAACCGATCTCGATAAAATTTAGCAAATGTATTTTTGAGCTGTATTTGATATATTTCCCCAAATATTGTTGCTGCAGAGTGCATATTACGGCGGCGGTGGACAAAAATAACAAATCGGATGAACAATATATATGGGAGCTATCGCTATATCTGAACCGATTTTAGTCAAAATTGGCAAACATATTTTCAGGTCTAATTTGGGTGTATATGCAAAATTCCATACAATTCGGGTTGATATTACACGTTTGGTGCACAATAAAAGGCAAATCGGATGAACATATATATGGGAGCTATATCTAAATTTTGACCGATTACCTCCAATTTCAATAGGGTTCGTCCTTGGGCCAACAAATGATCTGTGCAAAATTTCATCTGGATCGGGCAATAAATGCGACCTGTACTTTGTTTACAAAAATACATGGACAGACGGAAGGACGGACATGCATAAATCGACTAAGAATGTGATTCTATGCAGATCATCAAAAGGAACTATGGGTCTATCTCTTTTCCTTTTGCCTGTTACAAACAAATGCACAAAGACATAATACCCTGACCACCTTGTGGTGTAGGGTATAAAAATCCTTTTGGCGTAAAATTTTTTCAATTTAAAAACTATATAGAAGTGTACATTTTTTATTGTTTTGAATTCTGAATGAATTATATCAAAAATGAATTAGTACGCAATAAGATGATAAATGGTGATCTTTCATGTCTGAAATTGGCTTTTAGCTTTCAACTCCAGGATCTACATCGTGCTTCAGCTGGAAGATGCGAACAAATTTAAATAAACAAAAATAACCGACAAAACGTTATGGCGCTCATTTCAACACGTGGACCTACCTACTTCTATCACATGACACTAATCCATCCAATGAGAACTCAATATGCAAAATTCATTGGGACTACATTCAGTGAAATACCGAATATAAAGGGCTCATATTACACGTTTGGTGCACAATAAAATGCAAATTGGACGAAGATATATATGGGAGCTATATTTAAATTTTTACCGATTATCTCTAATTTCAATCAAATTCTTTTAAAATAGTTGACCACTAAGACCCTACCATCCAAGCCTTATTTGGATAGTAATAAGGCAATGGAATAGATTTTCCTCTAAAGCATCTGGGATTCTTTAATTTTCCGATAGCAATCAATTTTTTGTAACTCCCGTCAACATTGTTATTTTTATGAACTTAATACTTTCCCGGCGTTTCCATCGCCATTGCCAGCCATTTTTTGGAATAAAATCGGAATGCAATTTTGCAGATAAGTCTCTGGCTTTTTGGAGGATTTGAGCATCGGTTAACAGTGTATTAATAGCTCTCATCTGGTCAAACCATTGAGCAAGAGCTTTTTCAATGTCATTGTGCGGACTCGTACGTAAACGTTTACGTTGTAAAGTTGCGTTTGCAGCCTCCTCCACTTGTTGCCGATTTCTCCAAATTCTATTAACAGTTGATAAATGAAATGCTGCGCAATTTCATTTTTCGTTTTTGCTTTTTGTTCAATCAAGTGCAGAATTTGTATTTTTTGCTTAATTGTCAAACTTGTAAGTCTTCGCCCTTTGCCAGACATTTTTACGAATCACACAAAAATATTTATTTTGACAGATGTGAGTTTTTAAATAACGATTATAAGGAGTTGCCGTCTTAAAAAAGTGTGTAAGTGTTGCCGTCTTCCTGCGTGTACATAACCGGGGGACAACGTACTTAAAATTACATTTAATGCCTAAAAAATTATGGTACTTAGGCGGGTTGAGTATTTATGCGGGGAGGTAACTAAACGGCTAAATTTGTTCGAGTTTTTACAAAAAACCAAAATACAACGACAGACGGACGGACATGCAAAAATCCATTCAAAATATGATTCTATGCCGATCACTTAAAGGAAGTATAGGTCTATCTCGTTTTCTTTTGTAGGTTACAAAAATGCGTTCTACAGTGCGAAAATACATTTCGAAACCAAATCGGGGTGCCCAAAAAGCAAACCAATAACTTTTCCGTATAAAAAGAACAAAAAATACCAGAAAAACAATCATCTGAAAAGGGCCATGGTCCACGGGGCACCCATTTTCAAAGACAGTAAATCAAGTAAGATCAGGAAGCGTAAGGTTGTTGTCTGCAAGGGCTGATATGAAACTTTCTTCGCACTCAAGAAATCTTTGGGTTATACACCGGGCCATGAATTTAGGTGGACATGAAACGTCGAAGGTACATATTTCGCTATACTTCTGACAAATTCCAACAGTAAAAACTGGGAAATAAAGTCAAAATCATTTATTGGATATTTGTTTCGACGGGCTTTGCCATCTTGACCTATGGAGTTCTAATAGCATGTGCCGGAAATCAGATCAATGCAGTGGCAAAAAACAAATAAAAAAGCATCTAAGTTCGGCCGGAACGAGCTTAATACCTCCACCATTTGGAAAATTAAAAAAAAAAAAATCCGCCGAAAAATGCCGTTAAAATAAAAACTGTTATATGGAGGCTAAAGACGTGGGCTTGCATAGGCTGTAGTACCGATTCCGAAATTCAAATGTTAAATTTGAAACAATGCCGGTCTGTCGGACCCGTATACGCAACTTTGTCAAAGACTATAGTATCCATTAAGAGCTTCAAATACGGAATTTGAAACAATTCCTGTTAATAATGTCGCTTAAATCATAAAAGTACCGAATAAAGGGAGGTACCGTTATGACCCATTTACGAACTTACTTGAAAAATGGACATTTGTGTCCAATTGTAGGGACTTCAATTCTAGGCATAGTGGTAAGTCTAAGTCCCCAAAGATTAACTCTCCGGTTGGATCCTTCAAACAGCGGGGAATTGCATCATTCTTGTTGGACGTGATAGAATTTGCAATATCGGTAGGGATGACTGTATGGATTTGTAGATATTTGTAGGCCGTAAATATTCCAATTTTGAATGCTATTGGATGAATTGAATGAATGAATGAATGAATGAATATTGAATGTCCGAAGTTTCATGAAAATGAGATACTTACTTTGCTTTCTATGAAATAGAAATCTTGCTGTACAGCCGATGGACCAATTCGTGTCTGAGAAATTAGTGGCAAAATTTTCAACCAATTCAATTCAAGTCTTTAAGAAAAGTATTTTACTTTTTTTTTTCTATTTTTTTACAAAATTTTGACAAACAATATTCAAAATTTTGCTGTTGAAAACATTAACAAGTAAGTAAAGGTTCAAGTAGACCAAGAACAAGTAATAATGTAATATATTACTTGTGGCATATATTTTTCGCCCTGCGCTTTCATTTTTGCTCATTTATTTAAATATGCTTTGCAGAATTATGTTATGACACCGTTAATCGAATGTATTAAATGTGAGTACGGTTACGGGGTTGGTTATGGCTACGGCAATATTGTATGTCACATATGCCGTAAAGGCTACAGTCGGACATGGCCGATCATGTGATACTTATCCACCACTATAAATTGCGATGAAGTTTTTGTAGATCTGAAAGTCTATTGACTAGAATGAACAAGTATCCTAAGCGACTGCTCCCTGCCAAGCAATTGCAAAATCTGAGAAAAATACAGCTTCATCTCCAATAGTATTAGGACTCTACTCTGATGATAGCTATGGGGATTGGACAATAATTACGACCTCTAGAGTGAGTACAATTGTGAGAACAAAAGTGAGATAAAACAAGTAAAAAAGCAGTCGGCCGGGCCGAACTTTGAATACCCTCCACCAGTTGGAACGAATTAGAAAATTTTCAAAAAAGTAAAATCAATTAAAAAATCTGTTATAATCTTTAAAATACCTAATATCGAAAGGTGCCGATATATGGGGGGATATACGATATTGTGGACCTATATAGACAAATCTATGTCTGGGGGTAAAGTACTCACAAAGAACTCCTTGTATAGAATTTCAGACAATTCCATTGAAAAATGTTGCTAAAATCATCAAAATACCGAATATCGGGGGTACCTTTATATGGAGGCTATACGATATAGTAGACCTATATAGATAATTCTCTTCCAAGAGATAAGGAACTCACAATGAATGCCTGGTGTGGACTATAAGACAATTCCATTGAAAAATGTGGCTGAAATCATCAAAATACCGCATATCGGGGGGTACCGTTATATAAAGGATATATGATATCGTGGATCTATATAGACAACTCTCTTTCGGGGGATAAAATACTCACAAAGAACTCCTTGTGTAGAATTTTAGACATCAAAATACCGAATTTCGCTAGATTGCATACCATATATCTTAGGAGTATTATTAACATCTATGGCAAATTTTATTTTATCTTAAAAATTATAAACTCTGAAAAACCTTGATTTCAAGAGACCGACATTATAAATCTACTCAGAATTTATGCTAATATCGAATATATGAAGTTTACGGGAACTGAAGTATTTAAGCATTAAATCGGATGAAACATATGTATATATGGGAGCTATCTAAATCGATTTTCTCCAAATGTGAAGTTCTTGTTTATGTGCTGAATTTGGTTGGATTTGCCGAAATACATCCTATTTGGACGAATACTAAACCGTTGGTCTGTTCCAAAATTGCATGTTACTGGGATAACAGATTTTCCGTTTATCATATCAAAAAGAGTTGCCAATAATACCCTGATTACAGTGTATTGTAGGGTATAAAAATGAAAAATAATACCCCGACATCGGTCCACCGCTGTATTTCTTTTGCCACTCAATTTATAAATATCAAATTAGTTTTTAATTTTTTTTTAAATTATCCCAAAATTGTGAAAAAAATTACTTGATCAAATTTGGAGTTTCTCCTATAAGGAGACTATTCAAAATGTTTGGCCAATTTTCTGTTATAAGAGGTGGTATCCACTACGAACTCAAAATTTGAAACCTTTCGGATACAGAACATCTGGAGGCACTTATATACACTGACAGTTATTAGGAAGGCCAGAAACCTTTCTATATAGGCAATTGGACAATATGGACCGATATGCCCAATCCAATAAAAATAACATGCATATGAGCGGAATAAATCATCAATATACCCTTCATCAATGGAATATAGCTCATTCGACTCCGAGCTTCATATATAATAAAAAGTTTGACCGCTATTTTAAGTAAGGATCAGGTAAAAGTAAATAGGGAGAGTGGGAATATTATGACATTGATTTATTCTGTGAGACCAGTACCCTAAATTAAATAATATTGGACAGTTATATGCGAGAATGTTCCATCTTCTGGTATTGCGGTTCAAGGTAAAGAGAAAGAAAAGGGCACAAATGGAACAAAAAAGTTAAGTATTGTTCGAATAGATTCCTCAACGATTTAACTAAAGATATATTTTTTCAACTATATGAGCAATCATCGATGATTTCAATCAATAGATCGACTCAAGAAGAATGTGCTCTTCGGGGCTCTTGACATTCCAACAGAGGGTTTCCATCCACAATAGTAATTTTCACTCACCAAACTTTTAACCTATTGCTGGTAGAAAAAGGAACAAAGAACTATTTCCACTAATAAAAAAATTTACTCATGAACTTGTATTTCAAGCAGAATTTCCAGAACTAAACTTCATTAAGTGCAACTCCTTTATAAACACTTAATGTGTCACGAAAAAGTTTGCCCAATGAACAGCAAAAAAAAATCCTCCACAATTTGTAAAAGTCATTCAAAATCAAAGCTGGCGGCAAAAGGACAACCGCGACAACAAACAACAACAACACCAACGACGTAGAAATACTGGTTAACCTCCTACAAAGGAGTAATAAGTAAAGTTTAGAGAGGGAAAGCGTAGCTTAAAGCATGGTTGGTTATTTTTAATAACGAGTTTGGCTGGCAGCAGTGAAATAAGCTTTTTGTTTTTAGACAAGGATATGTGGTTTTGTGATTTAAGCCGCTGAGAATGTTTCCCGGCCGTACACACATGTGTATGTATATACAATTCACTGAACACACTAACATACAAGCAGATATCCAAACCAAACCAAACGACCGACAGACCGACCGACCGAATGTCTGCAGTGCCACCACATTTACAAATGGTCAATGCATCGAGGTTGAACCAAAAAAGAAAAAATATATATGAGGGCATCAACGTCATCATCAACCTCACGGCAACTGACGTTATTCGCAGTTCGTTTGGAATGCACTCTGGTGGCAGGCGGGCAGGCACCTTCCCGGTTCGAAGTATTTGTTGTGTTGCAAACACACTGGGTGTTGTTTGGGGAATGTTGGAGCTTATTTTGGGGCAATGTGTTCATGTGTGTGTGCGTGTAAATCAAGCGGATATGCGCACATTTTGACCACATAAAACATTTCGAATACCACAAAATTCGAATGTGGCTTCAATTGCCTCGCCAAACATATATGTGGGGCATTTCATGGAAAGACCCATAGTTATTTCTAAGGATCTTCATAGAATCCCTTTCAGAGTCGATTTACGCATGTCTGTCAGTCCGTCCAGGTATTTTTGTGAACAAAATGCAGGTCGCATGTATTATTCGATTGAAATTACATTTTTCGGATTTGGATATAACTCCCACATATATCTTCAACCGATTTCGAATTTATGGCCAATATCAGTTCAAATGACCTGCATTTTGGTACAAACGACCGAATTCAGTCTAGAAGCAAGTACATTAAATTTGGTGAAAATTGGTTAAAATATAGCTATAGCTCCCATATATATATTTCATTTGATTTGGGGTTTTAAGTCCCTCACATTCACAGGATGAGATGAAAAAATTCCAACCAACTTCAGACTGCTGTCATTTCCAAGCCACTCGTCCGACAGCTGTTAAAATTATTCCAGTGAGAGCTCATTATATTATTTACAAGCGTGCAAAAGCATTTTGGTGAGAATTTTCCAGAAAAAAAGTTATTCGTGATGGAATTCAAGCGTGATAGTGTGATTTGTTTATATTTGGCTGGAAAACCACAAGTGTCTATCGTTAGAGCACTCCAGCATTTAAATGTCAATAAATCTTCTAAATCGCTCGTTACCGTAATACTGGTAGCGTAGCCCGACGTCACGGAAGTGGACGGAAGAAAACAACAACATCAGCAGAAACGGTTCCAAAAGAAAAGAAGCGATTTGATCGAAACCCGCGTCGCAGTGGCCGAAAAATGGCTCATGAGCTGAACAAATCGCAATATTCCATTCGCCAAATATTGAGCTCGGGGTAAAGCCATTGGGATTCCAAAAAATGCAAGAACTTACACCGCAAGAGAAAGAAAAAAGACTCAAAAGAGCTAAAGAGTTGCTTCGCTTGACCGAAAGTGGTGAACTGCCGAACTTGGTTTTCTCCGATGAGAAAACATTCGTTATCCGGCAGTTTGTAAACAAACAAAATAATTGTGTTTAGTTGCCAAAGAGATCAACTGAAAATGTGCAACTTCGGTTGGCCACCAGAACAAATGCGCCGGCCATGGTGGGCCGCCATTATAGCCAATGGTCGCTCTCCGCTCGTATTTATCGACCGTGTCATTAAAATAAATGCCGAAAATTATAGCGATAATATTCTGGAGGGTGTATTAAAGCCTTGGGCACGCAAAAATTTTGGCCGCAGACCTTGGACATTCCAACAGGACTCAGCACCTTCGCACTCAGAACGCGCCAAACAAGAATGGTTACAAAATGAGGTTCCTCGCTTCATTTCCCGTGCATAATGGCCACAAAAAATCTCCGGATACCAATCCGTTGGACTATTGTGTCTGGAGTATTTTAAAAAGTAAAGTTGGCACTAAAAAATACCAATGTGTCGATCACCTCAAGCAAGCGCTTTGCCGAGAACGGACCGCAGAGCAACATTCGGGCAGCATGTGACGGTTTCATTGGCCGTTTGAAGGCCATAATTCGTGCCAAAGGTGACCAATTCGAATAAATCTAAACTTATTCTAAAATTTGTTGCTATTTCCGACTTATTCTAAAATTTGTTGCTATTTACGGCGCTTGTTGCAGTTTTTGTCTCAACCGTATATGTAATATCAGCCCAAATTCAATCGATTTTTTCATATTCATCCGAATTTTTCCATTTAGTAAAACTCAGTCCGGCATCTATCTATTACTTCAATAAATATTTTTTAATATAATTCTTATAGAAGTCATGTTACTTGGTACTAGAGGTACAAAAACCATATCCAACTCTGAATCTGAAAATCGATTCAGAGTTGGATATAGTTCCCAAATTGTGATTACTCT